ACTAAGAAAATTTCATAGTGATGAGGATTAAGGAGATCATTGTAGATCTTCAGTTAATTCATTGTGCATTTTGCCCTCAACTACACCCATGAGATTTATTTCAGAAAATGAGCCGTATGAAGCTGACCTCGTCGTCGTCATCGTCAGATGACACCGATACTGTCGATGAATACATGCGGACCTACTTTCCGACTGCCAAAGCTAACCAAGGATCACTCCCAGGTCGCAATGCGAACGTTGACAGGCATCGCAGTATTGGTGACAAGCAGCTCTGGGACTACAGTACTTCGACAACAACCCGGCCAATGATGATGGTAGCTCTTTTTAAGGATTACAAACGTATCACAATACAATTCCACTCTATTTCGACGTCGATACCGCATGAGTCGCGAGCTGTTTCTCCGGATTTCACAAGATGTGGCCTACCATTCAGAGTACTTTCGACAAGGGACGTGATGCCGCAGGGTACTCGGGTTCTCCACGCTTCAAAAATGCACAGTAGCGATGCGCATGCTGGCATACGGTGCTGCTGCAGACTCAGTCGATGAGAACTTTCGCATGGGTGAGTCCACCAAACTAAAGACGCTGCAGTTATTTTGTTATGCTGTGGATGAGCTCTATGCCACCGAGTACTTGAGTCGACCGAGCGCCGAGGAGACTCAGGAACTGCTCGAGGAAAACGCGCTTCGGGGGTTCCCTGGAATGTTAGGCTCCCTTGACTGCAGTCATTGGGTGTGGAGTAGTTGTCCAGTTGCAAGGCATGATAATTCTTTATTTATCCATTATCATTATCATATTTTGCATTCTTGTGGGAGCGTTTAAGGGCAAAGAAAAGAAGCCGAGTATTGTCATCGAAATCGTAGCTTCAATGAACTTGCGGGTGTGGCACTACTTTATAGGTTGAAGATGATTGGACTTGAAACCTTGGTTTCTACTACATAGTAGCAGTATCTATAGTACGATATTTATGATGACTTGTAGGAATGGCCGGGTCAAACAACGACATTAATGTTTTGCGGTGCTCGTCTCTTTTTGATCGCGAGCGCACAGGAGTTGCGCCAGCCGTGTCATTAAACATTGGCAGCTCAACTTTCACCAATCCGTCAGTACTTTAATAATATAATTGTCGGTATATCGATATTTAATAGTTTTATGAATTAATAGATATTACTTGTTCTGTAGCACTGCGGGAGGAAGGGGGTGGGGGAATTGAGATTTATCCCTGGGACTCCAATAAATATCGCTGGTACCCGTACATTATCCGAATAAATCTCATTCGATAAATCTCACGGATGGAGTTCCTCTAAGCATCCTCGGAGGAATTCCACCGCTCGGTCGGCGAGGTGGTCGAGGTAGAATAGGCGCCTGATCGAGGCCACCAGTGCCAAGTGGCCACGGTGTCCAATGCTGCCACAATGGGCGACCACCATGATCCGTTGGATCAGGTCGTCCGCCGCACTTGGTATCCATAGGCGGCCGTCCACGTTCCATAACTCGCCATCATTCGTCGTCCTGGGCGTTCGTTCACTCGCTTGTTCTTGAAATACGTCGAACTTGGCAAGTTCGAAGTTTTCTTTCGCTACAGCTGTTGTTGAAATATGTTCAAGCAAATAATAATACTCCTGAGTATGTAACTCTAGCGCGCATGTACACGCCGTTAGTTTCCGTGGAAGTGGCAGATTCAGTTCCTGGTTGACTCGCACGTGACAGCTTGAATAGAGTTGCATGTATTCTCTCAACAAAGGTACACTATGATTTGAAGGAATCAAGGACATTTAATTCGTCATGGTGATGTGTTTCTGTCCTGTTCCCGCATCATGTTTTGTGAAACTCGGACATGTCGACAGGCGCATAAATCGAAAATAATCGAACTTTGATGTCTCGGAAAAAATAATTGACTTGTTAATGGAATTCGCAAGGTGAGCCACCTTGCTGCTTTTTAATATCCAATCAGAGTCCATCACACCTTGTTTCTTACACAAGAGGTTACAATTTTGAACTTTGAATTTTGTAGAGCTTTGTGTGATGTGCTGCTCCAGAGAATTGTGCACTGATGAGTGCACTCCGACTATGTCCAATGTGGTTCTCCCCTTACAGCTAACATTATGTTGTGCGCTCGGTTGGATCGCAATGTCGTGGTGGTTCTGGTGGGCCAACGCGGTGGCGCAAGAGGTCTTGGTAGCCCAACCCAAACGCAAAGTGCTAACGCTGCCACTTCAGCACTTCCGATGGGTGCCACCAAGACGTCTCTTGCGCCACCGCCCGCGCAACCACGTGATCACACCGGCAGGGAGGTGTACGGCACCGACACGGAACGGTGGAATGAGGGATGACCAATTTCATTGGGTTAGTAGGCAAGTGGTGAAATGAGACCTGTTAGAATTGACCGAGTCCTGAATACCACTGTTGGAGGTGGCTTCACACCGACACTTACTACTTAGTGGTTTCATATCTTTACATATCTAGGAAGAGATCCAAATAGTGATGGTTGTAGAAACATCTTATACGATATACATATATTCACTCTTGAACAATCTACTTTGTGCCTACTCCTTACTTCCAAAGTCTAAGACCACATCACATGATCTTGCTCTCATACACAGCCTACAATTATCTGAAGGCTCCTTGCATCAACCGCCATCACTGGAGTAGAATACTACATATATCGCAACACGGCGTGATGAATCAATCTATGCAGCGATTTTCGTGATTTCACGGCATCTGATTGGACAAAATTGGACAATTTTGAATTCGCAAGGTGACCTAATTCCAACAAGAGCTGTCTCTTTTTGGAATTCGTAATTAACAGACACATGAAAAATATGAAACATCAATACAAACTTGAAGATATATTTAATTGAAACTATACAATTTCAGAATTATTTATGGAATTCGCAAGGTGGTTCACCTTGCGCTCCATACAAAATTGCCTATTTCACCTTGCTTTTTCTGTTTAATGTAATTTAAATTAATCGTAATTGTCCCACTGCAATAATTTATTTTATGTCCATGCTGAAGACAATAATATGTTTTCGACAGTTCGATCACCAGCACCAATAATAAATTGATGGACTATATTGACCAAAAATTGTTTAATTGCACCCTTATCCCATATACTATGGCGACCTCGTACTCCCCAAAGGACCTCCCCAAGCTCTAAGATCGACGAATCGTCTTCCCGCGCCTCACTCTTCCACAAGGAGTCTGTCAGGAGGGAACTCTCGGCAATAGCATGCAATGCTATAGAGCTACAGGTCATGCATTGAATGCATGCCCTCATCTCTCGACTGGGCTTACATAAAGCACTCGCTTGGCCAATACTTTCGTCGACCAACGGTGATCACCCGATTTTGGGGTAATTACCTGTATAAATGGATAATATTATCAAATATAAGAGGAAATATTTGATGCAAGGTATACTGAAATCAAGTTTAAAAACAATAGAACATGGAAGATGTTCCAATATTATACCAGAGTAGAATTTTGAAAAGATGAATATTTTCAAACAAGTGGTAATTTTAAACTATTAATATTCGAACTCATTGAACTCGCCATCGTCACCCCCCTCAACTTCTTCATCCGGACTTGTGTCGTCGACAGGGTGGCGAAGAAGTCTTAGTGCGCAGAGTTCATGTATTGGGCAAGGTTTTGGTAGCCAGTCGACTTCCTGATGGTGATGATAGTGGATGGCGCGCACCGGTGACACTTGAACCGAGTTACGATGCGGTGCTTTCCAGTTTTGGGGTGTTTGGTGCGGCTCTCGACGTCCAGGTGGCTTCAGATTCTCCGAAAAGATGACTAACTTGTGAACAACGTGTGCACTTTCATGGGGTACTGAGGTATTAGCCTTCGAGTACACGCCATCTTAACGATACCGGTATTGATAGCTCACGGGAAGAATTTCACTCCTTGAATTTAAAGTGACGACTTTGTCAAGCTATAAGCACCACGACGAATTGGATTTACAGTTAAACTAACCAATGAAAACAGAGTCATCTGCTATTCTATTCCACCAATCACATGCAATAAAGAACAAGATTTGAAAACAATATAACGTTAACGTTATGCTTCTTTTTTGTTGAAGAGAGTGGTATAGATTTTGAGGAAAAACTTGGCGTACCCCTGGAATCGAACCCGGGGCCCATCCACCACCGCCTGATCGTGAAACCGATATGCTACGCGCCAAGACCTTGGCTTGTTACTTTGACCATCGTTTAGGTCAGCAAAATTGAATTTTTCGGCTGTTCGAATTTCAATAAAATTATGAATTGTTCTTCCGAACGACAATACTTTGTTTATATTGAAATTATATATTGACAAGCTAAAATAAATTTAAATATATTTTTCCCCAGCCCTGTACATGATAGCCCATTCATTACTAACTCAGCCAATGCAGCATGTCTGCGCATGCACAGCTCACCCGCAAGTATGCGCACGCACGTTCTTGAAATACGCGAATTTGGCATGTTCGAAGTTGCCTTTTCTCTACCAGTACAGTTGTTGATTCACGCGAAACGCAGCAAAGTGGCATTGATATTGTCCTTTGACCCAAAATTTGGGCTTTGGTGCTGATTCACGAAATCTATCGATCGATTCTTTGTCCTGACTTTTCCATGCAAATATCACACTGATTTCAGTCACACACTAATTCAATTGGTCGAAGAGTGGATTTGATTGGCCACTTGATAAGTGTTCTGCGTTTTGATTCGTCGATTGATTTTCTGCCGATATTTGGTGCTGCACTTGCCAATTTCGAATCGACGTGACAATAGTATTGGTTGTTGTTATGAGGAATCCCCGTGACCTGATGTGCAGCAAGCATTGAGAAATCGCTGACCTGCGTCGCGCCTTTCCAGGGTGGGTGCATGCGCAATCTGCAGGAAGCATAAATCGTATGGCAAAATGTAAATAATTACACGAGTTACACGCGTACACTACCGGTACTAGTCGCTGGAAAGAGTTACCTTCGAAGTTCTTAGTATTTATATCGAAAACGTCAATCTAGATCTTGTATGGTAAAATAATATTATCAGCACATTATGTTGCTCGTAGGTCGTGTGAGATGCAGCCTCGCTATTCGCGTTTCCATGTCTGTGACCATCGATGCCATTCCTGCCACAAAGTTCCGCAGCGCGTTGTTCTCGATGCGGGCGAGGACGACATCCCGCGAGGAGCTGGGTTCGACTCCAAACATGGCCGCAGTGCGTTCAAACGTCACGACGCCGTCGGTTGTGATGGGTGCGTACTGCATGACCGCAGACCGACACAACGTGATGGAGTCTGTGACAGCGTCCATAACGGTCCAGCCAAATCCATGGGGTCGAAGTTCATTTGGCTGCAATGGAAAGCACTCGTCGTCCCGTACATATATCGATGCACACACCACACGCGACGCGAGGTGGTAGCTCCGAGTGAGTCTGCACAAGCTCGTCCCGAGCTGCGCATTGTACAACCGCCAGTACAACAATTCGCCTTCCTCCAGGACTGTCTACATAACAATAAGACATGCAGAACGACTCGGTATAGGATGAATGGGTACCTCGACATTGTACACGCTCGATTGTATGATGTCGCGACTGGCGTTAACATAGCACGCGGTAACGTCGTTCAAGCCGGCGAGAAGTGTCACTTGATGGTGGCTTTCCATGCCGAGGATGTCCTGGTTGTCGTCTACGTGGACTTGGAGCGTCGAAACGTCTGCGATAGATCCGTTGAAGGTAGACGAAAGCGTAGTATTGGCGGCGTGAAAGACGCGGTCCAGGAGCCATTGGAACCCGTATTGGCGCGACTCACGGTGTGCGAGCAAGGTCGAGTGCAGCCACGGCCGGCTATCCCGCAACGACTACATGCAATCATCAACAACAATCGACATATATGATGTCGTACACGACCGACGGAACGACCGACCCACTCGTGCAGGATTAGAAGCAACTCTTGTTGTCGGTGGACCTGGTCGCGCAGCTTTCGCCTCTTCGCGGCGCGAAGGGCAAGATCGGTTTCGAACCGTTTCGTGACCTCGCTCCACGCGCGCTGCTGTGGTATCGACAGGGTGCGTTGCAGGGTTTCCTGCAACGCTGTGATTTCAGCGACAAGGATGGCACGTTGACAGCGTTGATCTGCCCGATACCGACGCTTTCGTTCGCATTCATATCGCCGTCTAGCCAGCGTGGAGGACAACTCACTGCGACGAGGTGAGGCGGTATCGGTGGCCGTCGACATGGCCATTCAGAGTGAAAGTGGCCGCTTGAGTCCTGCTCTTAACATTTTTTTCACAGCGAAAACTGCGCTTCGTCTCAGTATATATTGACCGATATATTGTCGTGAGTGTAGGTTAAGTGACCCAAGAAAGACGTTTATTTGGAATTAGGACGACGCTATTTGCTTATTACTTCGAAGTGTTAGGACTATGTTGTTATTGGACCAATTACAAAGGCATATTTCGGGTCACGTGACCGCGTCCAGGGTTAGTCACAATTTTGAAATACTTTGAATTCATCATACAAACACCAAGTTCGATTAAAATATCGAAAAAAAGAACGTTCACTGTCGCCCCGCTGCTGCTCTTTCGTCGCCGCTCATATCGATCCTACCGCCAACATCTTCATGGTGGTCGTGCATGTCCTTCTGTTGACCGCGGCGTTGGCCATCGTCGCGCTGTACGGGTATACCATGTTCTCGTACTTTCTACGTTTTGCATGTCACTTGTACTTTCGCCGCATCACCGTCCACGGCGTGAACAACCTCCCTCGAGAAGGTAGGTTGCACATACTCTCCCAGTTCCCCTCCTGACCATGTCAACCGTAGGTCCTGTGGTCGTGTGTCCGAACCACCCAAACATGATGATAGACGTCCTTCTTGTCTTGACGCAATGTACACACATGGGACGCAATCCATACGCGTGGGCGAAGGCTTCGATGTTCAAGAACCCCGTTGCCGGTCGCATCTTGCGCGCGCTCGGGGCGGTTCCCGTGTACCGACCACCGGGTAAACTAGCCAACCAGGACGTGGACTCGGAGAAAACGCCGGAGGAAATCGCCGCCGCCACCCGGCACATGTTTGAGGACACGTGGAAGGTGCTCCATCTCGGCCATCTCGTCGTGCTGTTTCCCGAAGGCACGTCGTACACGTTGCCGCACATGTTGGAGTTGCGCACGGGGGTCATGCGTGTGGCCACGGGCTTTGTCAAGGCGTACGACACCCCCATCACAGTCGTCCCGCTGGGGTTGACGTACTTCAACAAGGACCGCTTCCGCAGGTACTACACCCTGTCGAGCATCCCATTACTGTTAGTAGACGCTCTCTCCTGATGCTCGCGTGTGATGGGGAATATTCGCAGCGAAGTGTCGTTGGAGTTTGGCGAACCGATCATCGTGGACCAAGCGGTGATTCACTCGGACGCGTTCAGCACCGATGAAAGGTCCGAAGTGAAGCGGTTGACCGAGCAGCTCCAGGTAGATAAGATATATTGTCCTTTTACCCAAAATTTGGCAGACTTTTGTGCTGATTCGCCAAATCTATTTTGTCTTATCCAGTATCACACTAATTTCAGTCACTCACACACTAATTCGATGTTGACTTGGTCGAAGTGGATTTGATTGGCTACATGACTCGTGTTCTGGGTTTTGATTGGTCGATCGATTGTCTGTCGACTTGGTTATTCTGCTTATTCGATTGAGCACCCCACTCCAATTTCGAATCGACTTGACAATAGATATATCCTTTTGTTGTCCTAATTTGACTATTTTATTTTAAATTTAATTATACCGACATTTCATTATTTATTTTTCAGGCTTTAGAATTTATTGACTGTGAAATTTGGGTATAATTAAATTTAAAATAAAATACTATTTTATTTTATTTTAAATTTAATTATACCCACATTTCATGACGCCACAAACTACTATTGTGTTTTTTACCCAAATTTACTTTTGTGCTGCTTCGCCAAATCTATTTTGTCCTGTCCAGTACCACACTAATTTCAGTCACACACTAATTCAGTGTTGACTTGGTCGAACAGTGGATTTGTTTGGCCACTTGATTTGTGACATAATGGGTTTTGATTGGTCGTATATCTTGACAATACTAGGAACGCATGCATCGAGTGACGTTGAACGCGCATAACTTTGAATCGTTCCGTGTCGCGCGCACCATCCGCCGTCTCTACTGCGCCAAGCCGCTGCATCCCAAGGATGACGTCCACTTTACACAGCAACTCGTGGATCTCGTCGAGGGCAAGCTCACGACCAAAGAGACCGAGACCGTGTACGACCATATTCCCCGATGACCATCATTCCTCGATGACCCCTTCACTTTTCACATGACCACCATTCTCCAATAACCATATCATTCCCCTATGACTGTCATACAACCATGAATTCCCCGACGACGACCATCATTTGATGTGACCATCATTCCCAAACGATCGTCAGTCCTCATGGGTCGACCAATCGACAGGGTGTTGACGCAGCTCAAGGCGGACGTGTCCAAGTACCAGCACGCGCTGGACGACTTGCGCATCAAAGACAGCGACCTGCTGCTAGATGTAAAGGAATCCCTCGTCGCGCTCGCGGTGGAGCGGCTGATGTACCTGTTGGTGCTGTTGCCGCTGGCGACGCCAGGGTTGGTGTTGAATTTGCCCTTTTACTTTTTAGGTACGTTGTGTATATAAGGGAAGTATACGATGGCGAGTAGTCATGGTCTTGGACTAGGCACAAAGCTGAACGTGTTGGCCGGGTATACCGAGTCGCGGAGCATGTTTAAGCTCGCGGCGGGAATGTACGTCCACAAAACTAGAAATCATGATAGTGACTGGATTATAATGTCGTGGATAGTATTGTTCTTTTTGCCCAAAATGTGGACTTGTGTGGACTGACCTTTTGTATCGTGCTGTTTGGAATCACACTAATTAACGTCACACACTAATTCGATCGTATGACGATTTCCTCCAACCTGATTGGCTCCATTCTTCTGCCGATTGGACGTCTATGCAGTTATTTTTGGTTGGGTCGATTATTCATATCAACTTCGAAGTATATATCTCCAGTTTAGAATATAAACACACAACCATATATATATAGTGTGCTAGTCCCGGCGCAATGGGTCGTGCTGATCTCCACCGCCGCGTATATCTATGGATCGTCGGCCGCGTACGGACTAATGATTGCGCTGCCGTTCTTCCTCTATTCGCACATCCGTGTGTTGGAAGAGAGCCGGAGTATCATGGAGAACGTGTGGTACCTGGCCAACCTGGCCACACGAAAGGAACGCATCGACGTGCTGCGCAACGAGCGCAAGGCCCTGGTCACCACTGTGCAGGTAAACAATTCAAAACGGATTGAAAAGGAGTTCACGTCGAGCCGGTAGAGTTTGGTGAATGCGCTCGTCAAGGACCCGGTGATCGATCGCATCAACAAAGTCAACGCGACGTCCCACGGGCTTCGTCCGGCAGGTCTAAGTCTTCGATATCGACAAGAGTCAAGAAGCGACTTCATTTAACCAGACGTGGCAGGACATTTTCCTCGATGTAACATCACAATCCATAAACATTCAAAAAAGTTCGTGGCAGTGAACGGTATCCGAAATCTGTCATTTGGGAAATCATTCTCGAGAGTACCAGTAGTACTGTAAGCTTACTACTAATTCTCGTAGCAATCTTCCAGAGTGCTATTATTAATAAGATTAATATAATAGTAACGTTACTCCTCATTAGTACAGTGCACCGACGGATTTTTTACCCCATTAAGCCATCCTATCACTCGAAGTTGTGCCAAATTCACGCGATGTAATTGGTCAGTGTACTTCGAAATTCGAGGAAGATTTGCGCGCGACACTGTATTTTGGCTAATAAGATGACTCTATTTTCTTCCATCCATATTATTGGATAATTATCACTATTAATGTCCAAACTTCGTCTATCAGAGTAGAACTACTATCAGTACTACACTACTACTCTTAATAGTCCAAGATTTGGACTTTTCTCCTGATTCGCCAAATCTATTGATCAATTATTTATCCTGACTTTTTGTATGTAAAGATCGTGAAGTATCACACTAATTTCAGTCACACACTATTTTTTCTCTCGGTGTGTTGACTTTGAATTGGACGAAGAGTGAATTTGATTGGCCACTAATTACTTGACAATATTAATACCCCAAGTGGTACTAACTTACACGAGTAACAAGTTGCATCGCAGCATGAAAAATCAGAAGGGCACCCCGAGTATGATGATGGTATGGTACATGATAAGTTAAGTTGTATCTATCTAGCTATGGGTGGCAGATGCGGCAGTCGCACGGTGGCGCACGAGATTTTTGGTGACGCCACGCCTTGGACAAGCGTTGGTTGTGCTTACAGATGAGAGATCGATGGATGGAGGTTTTAGTGTCACTGCCGCCTTTTTGGAGGTTCAAGTGCAACACGAAAAAGAGCATGACGGGGTCGCGGACTCGCGGTTCCATGGACTCGAATTCGAAGTTGGAGTTGGGCAGGAATTCGGTCGTGAGAAACACCACCGCGTCCACGACATCCGCGACGGCAAACGACTGGAACGACGCGTCCATCAAACTGAGGTCGATAAAGTATTGCGCGTCGTCGAGCTGGGCTGGCGTGAGGCTGATCGTGCCAGCCGTGACACCTTGATGGAATTGCCACTGCAGCGTGGGGTGTAAGATGCGAAAGCCGAGACGCTTCAAGATCTGGCATTCCAGGACGAGCACGTGGTGCCAACTCCAGTTGCCCTTGCCACGGCCTTGTCGCTGCTGGAGGGTTTCCTTCACACGAAGCGTGGAGAGCGCGGTGTGGGTTTCGTTGAATTTGGCCGTGATCCAGATGCACGCAATGCTCACAACTTCCAGCCACTCCAACGTGATCGGTTGGATCTTGAGGAATCGGTCGAGGAGCGAGATGCTCATGTGGATCGTGTCTTGCATGAGGCCCATGTTGTTGGTCAGCGTGTAAAGCGCCGCCACGTACATGTTGCGGTCTTGTGTAGTTACATGTCGTAGTCTGGAAGTCGTTCGCTGCCACGGAAACCCTGCAGTGGACCCATCCACGGCGGCAACATCTCCAGTGCCCTTCTTGTGCAGCCACCCTCGATGCAGCGTGAACTTGTCGGTGAGTTTCACATCACGCCGACAGCAGCGCTTGGCAGACACCTCATCATCCTCCGTCGAAGGAGATAGGGACCGCTTCGCGGTGAGCACCATGGAGGCGGGAAATCACAGAATGAACCAAACGGCATGGTTCTACCTCGTTCAAAGTTGTTACGGTACTGTTGGTGTGTTTTCGCGGTCAAATGGAGCGCCGTTTCGATCCCAAAATTCCACCAATCAGTGAGCCCAAAAATGCCGTCTCAATCGATGATTGGCGGAGTTTGGTTCACACATCGAAATCGAAGTATTTAAACCTTCGAACTTCGATTTTTCGTAATTTGGCGCGGTTGCAACAGTTGAGCTTGCGCGATGATCACCTGTACCGCCACCTTCCGTGGCCTCACGTGGGCGGGCCTACGTCTGTTAATGCACGTTTGTATCCATGAAGTGTGGGTATGTCCTGGTGAACTGGTCGACAGCAACCACTTCGACAGCAACCACTTCGACAAAGCTGGCATGCATGATTGTGGGCTCACCGCTGGTCAACGACGACATGAGGGTAAGTTATACTGTACTGTAGTGCGAGGTGAAGAGTGCGTAGCCTCCGCCGCCGTCGCTATCCTGGGTCACTGCGTAATGTCCTGATACGTATCGTCAACTGGACTGAATCTATACGGTATGAGGGAAAGGCATTGCTCTAATCGGCACTCTTTGCTGCACTTTTGCGACAGTGTCAGCGCTGCAAAACTCAGTCGCAGACTTAGCGGCAAGAGGCGCTTACTTGGATCCTCATGGCATTATGGTACAAGCATGATCAATAGTACTCCACACATCGAGTGAGGATCGTGTGGTGCCAGCAAGAGGTCTCGTCGGCCTACTGTACTGTACATACTGGATCGATCTAGCACTGGTCGTAGAAAGAGATTATTCATCAGCACTTGGCAAAAATGTCGAATTTCTCCTTGGACACAATGCGACGGAACGGTAGTTTCGCTGCACGTCGTTCGGTTCGTATTGAGCAAGCGGCGGCGCACACTGCAGCCTTCTAATCATTCTTCCCCGCATGCAGAATGGAAATTGCACTAGGGAGCTCTGCCAAGCGAACACTCCATGTCGTGCACTTCATTGCATTTCCATTTTCAGGTTGGAGCGGTAACATGGCGCCAGACATGGGGCTGGCGATCTCTCCTCCGTCCATTGTGTACGAGCCAATCGAATGGCTGCATTTGTACAATGTACGACATGTCCGTACGTACGACTCAGCTGTGATTGGTGGAGATTTTCTCGGTGGTATCTTTCATGATTTTCGAACGCAGTCGGTCGTTGCGATGCCAAACGACCACGCACCTTCAGTTTCTCAATGGCACCGTCCACCAGATCAGGCGCTACGTCCACTGTCGCCGCCACTGCTTCATCCAACCACGGCAGTGGTGGCGTGCCAGATGTACTCTCGGATCGCGAGAAGGAACACTTTACAAATGTCGCGAGACACATGACCCAAGCCCTGCTTGCCGCGACCAACTTTTCGCAAGCCATGCCGTGGAAACTTGTGTACGACAAGCCATTCTCCATCTACCGCACGGAGCTATGTGGTCTCGGTCCATGCAACGTGCACGCCGTGACTAAGCTCGTTGCGCACATCGACGAGGTCACCAACGCGCTCATTACGACCACCACCGACTCATACAAGTCAATGATGGCCACGTTAAGCTCCGACTTTGTCGACGGCGCCGTCCTCGCTAACATCTTGACCCCAACAGCTGAGAATCCATTTCGATACGTTGGTCTAAAGTGGGCTGCGTTCAAGGGGTCCGTCATGTCCAAGGACAAGGACTACATCCTGCTCGAGGTACTCCATCTCTTACCATTCTCTTGGCCCCTCCTCACTTCCCATTTCCTTCCTCCATTAGTACGTCGACTTGATCGAAGACGCCCACGGCAAAAAGACTGCATTCCGCATCATGCAGTCCGTGGACGTCCCGAACTCGGTGGAACTGTCGCTCGTGTCCGGTCGATACACAAGGGAACACGTCCAGCTCGTTGGGTTCATCTACCACACCACTGCAAAGAAGGGTGAATTGCGCATGACGTACACATGCAACATGGACACCAAGGGCGACATGCCGATCTGGGCCGCCAACAGCGCCATCCAATCCCACGTCGACAAATGCATCACGAGAACCCTCAAGTACATTGAAGTGCAGCGAGTGTTGCAATACGAAGGTGAGAGCTTCGACCTGCCCCAGCGCGTGATCCCCATGTCTGGGAGCACCGACTACTGCCACGTGTGCGAGAAGAAGTTCAAGTCGTACTTTCGACACCGGCACTCGTGCCTCAAATGCGCCAAGTACGTGTGCAAGAACTGCTGCTCGTTCAAGACCGCGTCCGTCCCCGAGCTCGGCGAGCGTCAGTTGAGGGTGTGCACCGTGTGCGTCGTGCAAGTCCGCCAGGCGCGCCGCGGGTCGGCCGACCTCCATAGAAAGGAGTCCCTGGACCGCCTGCTGCCGACGTGCCTTGACGCACGTCAGAAGCGGCACGCGCTTGACGAAGTCCTCGGCTCTGTCCGCCACATGATTGTGACCGACTACAAGTTGTTTTCGTCGCACCAGGCACCTTCCCATATGGGAAAGAATGGCACAACTTCCCATGGGAATTGTGGGAATAATCCTGTAACTGCCAGCACCAATGCAGCGATAATGCGTCGCCGCGTAACCGTCGGTCCTCAACAGCTCACCCCGGCACTGGAGATGTTCAAGGAAGGTCTACCTACCTTGGTGCACCAGCAGCAACAGCAACATGCGTCCTCGGTATATGGAGCAGCAGCGGCCAGGGTGCAACGGAAGCAGCCATCGCCGGACAAGCGGCGGTCTACGGTCGGTCCATGCGACCTCAAGTCGTCCCTTGCAGCGTTCCATCACCATGTAGAGGTCACGGGCAAGGCTGCCGCCCCTGCAAGCCATCGCGAAGACGAGGAAACATCCGATGATGGGTCCATGTATATCGTCTCGTCGGACTCGGAGGGCGACGACGACTCTGACGACGAACAGGAGGTCGATGACTCGGATGAGGTTGCGATGCCGCGAAGAAGAATCGCGCTGACTGAGTCGGCATTGCGGGAACTCAACATGCACCAGAAACGCTCGAAAGAGTTGGAGAAGCAGACGGAAGCCAACCATAAACTCGCGAATTCAATCGCCAGGCAATACTCGGACAGCCAACACACGAGTGCCGCGAGCCACTCGCGCAAAAGCTCGTTGAACGACCTCATGCCAACTACTACATCGTCCTCGTCATCCATGCGGAAAGCATCCGCCGGCACCATCGTCCTCTATGACATGGACGAAATCCGGGACATGGAGAAACTGCGCGCGTTTCAGCAAACCAACGGCGCCAAGCGACGCAGCTCCAGCTCCGAAGTGCTGGCAAAGTCGTCGCATCCCCCCAGTACATTTATGTTCTAATACATCCCAATCATCGTTGCATCTGTCTTGCATGCGTTGTTTCCTTTGTCTCGCAGTCTGGACATCTTCCGTTCGCGACAGCCGCGCCACATCTCATCACAACCATCTCAATCTGGCACGGAGAACCTTGGAATCTCCACCAGAGGATGTGAGGTCCCGTTTAAATGTCAGGTACTATTTCGCTTTGTTTTATACTTTTCGGCCATACTAATTTCAAAAGAGTTATGTGTTCGCTTGATATTTGTATGTAAATTTCTCGCATACGAAAAACCTCAATCGTGTTGGTGAAAAGTAGGATAATTACAAGGAAATACAATTGCATACATTATTTTGTTCTGACATTTGCTGTTGAATCGAACTTTATTAGGTAATTCCCTGAACCCTTTCACATTTAACAGCCAATCATTTGTCGTCAAAAGCACTCGACGCCCCTAAATCAGCCAATCGGAGCCCGATCCAAGCGACCGGTGTGACTGTCACCGATGACGAGAGATTGAGAGGTGACTGCGTCCTTCATTGCCAAAGTTCGTTGAACATGCTCAGCCGATTGCAACGCTCCCTGAAGCCCGCAGTGCTGTCCCGCGGATTTGCCGCCGCCGCGGACGGCCATAATTTTGAGCTGGCGCGTCCGTTCAAGCTGCACAGTATGTCACCATCTCCCCCTGTGTCTCGGTAAGCTGCTTACCGAGGTCGTCGATTGTGTAGACTTGGAAGAAGTCCCCGCCAATGGCAACCACGCGTTTGCCACCCGCGACGAGTTGTTGGGGTACTACCGCCTCATGTACACGATGCGCCGCATGGAGATCACGTGCGACAACGAGTACAAGGCGCGTACGATCAAGGGGTTCTGCCACTTGTATGACGGACAAGAAGCCGTCGCGACGGGCGTGGAAGCCGCGCTCGCGCGCTCCGACTCGTGGATCACGTCGTACCGATGCCATTGCACCATGTTGGCCCGCGGTGGGTCTGTCGCGAGCATCCTGGCCGAATTGTTTGGGAACAAGAGCGGCGCCATCGGCGGCAAGGGCGGGTCCATGCATTTCTACAACAAGAAGGAAAACTTTTATGGCGGTCAAGGCATCGTCGGCGCCCAAGTGCCCGTGGGTGTGGGTCTGGCGTTCGCGTCCAAGTACAACCACAAGGGCGACGGCCCTATGCCGTGCTCCATCACCATGTTTGGCGACGGCGCCGCCAACCAGGGCCAGATCTGGGAAGCGGTCAACATGGCGGCGCTGTGGAAGCTGCCGGCGATCATCTGTATTGAAAACAACCACTACGGAATGGGTACCTCCACGGAGCGCCACTCGAGCAACCAAAACTACTACACGATGGGCAACAAGATCCCAGGCATTTGGTGCGACGGCAACGACGTGCTGGCCGTCCGCGAGTGCGCGACGTTCTTGAAGGAATGGACGGGTGCCAACAAGGGCCCGATCTACGTCGAAATGTGCACGTACCGATACCATGGCCACTCCATGTCGGACCCTGGGGTCACGTACCGCAACCGCGAGGAAATCTCGAACATGCGCGCGTCGCGCGACCCGATCGAAAGCGTCAAGAAGCGTCTGCTGGAAAGCGGCCTTGCCACCGCTGACGAGATCAAGGAGATTGAGAAGGACGTGCGGAAAGAAGTCGTCGAAGCCACCAAGGAGGCCAAGGCCAGCGGCCGCCCCGACGACGCCATCGCGTTCAAGGACGTCTACTCGGACGCGAACGGCAAGAACGAGTTTCCTCCGTTCATCCGTCGCCCAGATATCACCAAGAGCTTGTACCATGGCAAGTAAACGCATTGCTGGAAATCGGAATTTGAATCACGATACATTTGAATGTAAGGTTACTATATCTCGCTCACGGCTAGGGCGATGTCAGGCCCTGGTCGGGTGGTAAAAACCCTGGACATCCTACAGTATACATTTACGGCTTATTATCTGGCTCAATTTATCCGAATTTTGAGTGGGGTACAGTATTTATTTTCTCGTGTCCAGGGAAGTCCTCCCAGTGACGCACGAACCGCACGGGTAGATAGTTGGCATTGGGGCATTGGTCTCCTGTGTAGATATGTCTAGCAACACGACTGGTTTCGACAAGCATCGAGTCTCATTGATGTCACGAACCACAGGTGAGTGCATTTTGTGCTCCACCACGCAAAATACATTATGATTTGCAATAATATTATGACTTGTATTGTCGATTTGATACAAATTTGGGCGTCGACCAAACTCGATCTGATTGGTTGAATTTGATTGAGAACGTTTTGATTGGCTAATAATTTGAGCTCATCTGAGGTAGCCAATCAAATCGATTTAAATTCCAACGAGAAACCACGCCACATCACAATAGTGTGTATGGTAATTAAATTGCACTATTAATTGTCGTTCAAGGTTGTCATTCCCACCCTGGATGCAACCGGAATACGGATAAATCAACCAATCAAAATTACGTCATTCAGGGTTTTTTCGTTCCAGAGTTTTTTCGTTCAGGGTTCTTAGTAGGGTTTTATTAGTAGTACTAGTACCGGTACTATTCTCAAAAATAGTATTATACGACAGATGGATGACTTTACGGAACCTAGGGGTACTACTCATGTGTGTTTCACATTGTACACTGTAGTAACGTTCCTCAATGTGTTCCATTTAGAGCGTGCAACGGTGTCCAGTGACAAGCCATGCTTTGTGTCATTGGTATGTTGCACGTCACCGATAAACTACATGTACCAACTTTCCACATACTTCATGAAGTAATTTTCTTGCTGCTATTTCACTTTCATTTCTCAAATTTTAACTACGTACTTCAGTAGTACTGGTAGCAAATAGAGACGTAGAATCGAGAGATCTTAGCGTTTGGTGAAGAAAATCTACGCAGATTTGAATTTGGAACAGAATTGGTCAAGAAATACTAAGTAGACATTTAACCACGTTTTATCACTTTATAGGTAGGTTAAAGGTCCATTATGAAGTACGGATACTTGTCTCATACATAGATCATAGATCAAGATATATATCGGTGGCCATCCCTGTGGCCAAATTCAATTCGCCCATGCAAAATCATGAAATCGTGATTTACAGTTATCTTATTTAGTTTTTTTGGATTAACTACATTAACGTTAAATAATATAACCCCCAGGCTTCGATTTGGCCAGCTGGAAGGACAGATGACGTGCACCAAAGGGGATTTGTTTGTCCAAAATACTACGAAGTATTTTTATTAAAATCAAATTCTTTTCTTTTCTTACGATACTTTGTATTCGATTGTTTTTCAAATACGGGTCACTTGACAAGATTTGTGAATGACACTATTGTGACACGCAGAACGTAATGATGGTATTGCCTTGGATAAGTACATTGCTATACACTCGAAGACGTAAAACTGGCCGGTGTTGCATTCGTCAACATGGCGACCGTGCTGCGCCGGTGGACGGCAGCAGTGGCGTGTATATTGGCCTTAGCCTTGGCAACGGACATGCTTGCAGAATCGTATGTGACTGCGTCTCTGCTAGACGATGAAATCACCACTTCCGTTGCATGCCACGCTCAGACCAGTGGTCACTTGGAGGTGCTGGCGGCTGGTTCGTTTGCTCAGAGCGAGTTTTTTGCCTGCTTTCGGCCACAAGACCAAGTGTTTCAGTTCTTCGATACCATAGCCGAGAGAACGCGGCAGGCCACAGCCAAACGTCCTGTCATGATCGACAAATTCACCATTTCCACCACTGTGTTTGGTAGTACCTTCATGGCAATGACGTGTACTCGCTTACACGGGTCAAAGTACATATTGTTTTGATTCACTTGTATTTTGCATGATGCTAGGCCGAGACATTCCAGCGTATAAGCTGACCACAGGTCCTCGTTCCACCAAGCAAAGCATCTACCTTCAAAGTGGCTTGCATGCTCGTGAGTGGATCTCCATCACGTCCACAGCCTTCACTTGGGCCACTCTCCTTGATGCCGCGACGTCGACAAATTCGTCGCTGTCTGCCTTCGCTCAGGTAAACAATGCTAGCGTTACGCTGTATTTTCTCACCTTTTTGAGCTCCATATGAGCGGCTTGGCACAACGGGACTTCCCTGGCAATCTAACACACTCCACGTGCCCTACAGGTGCTGGACGAATACGACTGGGTATATGTACCCATCGTGAACTTGGACGGGTACATTTACACGTGGAGTGCCGAGAGCCGCCGATACCACCGCAAGAACATGCAATATCGTTCGTATGACCCACTGGACAATGCCACGAATATGACGGCGGGAGTCGATTTGAACCGAAATTTTGGCCCCATCGACGACAACGACGAAGACAGCATCGTGTACTCTGGTAAATATTATCTCCATCTTTAGTAATACTAGCTTCGGTACCAACTCCAACTACGACGAACCACAGGACCTAATCCGTTCAGCGAACCCGAAGTGCAAGGCATTGCAGCCTTTGTAGAATCTTCCCAAAAGCAAGTCAACGGCTCGAGTGACTTGGCGGGGGTGCTGGACATCCACAGCTACGGCGGGCTGATTCTGACCCCGTTTGGCAACTCGTCGGCTGCTCCCGACCAACCGTTTGGCGCTGCGTTTTTCAAACTGGGCCAACGCGTTCAATCGGCCCTCCGAAACGTCAGCGGCGGCAACTACACGGCCATTCAAGCGTTCGACTTGTACTTTGCCCAAGGCATGTTTTGCGACTTTGTGTTTGCCACGTACAAAGTGCCGGCTCTGGTCGTGGAGATTGAAGGGGCAGACTTTCGAGTGCCGGCGTCGACAATCCAACGACGAGGGCGGGAGATTGCAGCAGCAGTCGTCACGTTTGCGCAGAGCTTGGGCGACTGGGCCAGCGAAACCAACACCAAAAAGTCTGGGACAAAGCAGTCTACTGCTGCACGAGTAGTCGTCGCCGGACCGTGGTGGCTGTGCGTGGTATTTCTTTTAACAGTTAGTGGAACGATGATGTAGGTAGTAAGTACCACGCAAGGTGGACGAAGGGGGTACGAGTAGTCTACGTAAATTAAATTAGTCGGTAGTTGGCTGCGGAAGCGAAATTTTTAACTTATTCTTACGTTTGCAGTTGAGATTCTTCTTGGGCATATAATAGAGAGGTTTTGCAACTCATCCGTACATTATTGGCACCAACACAAGACTTTCATAGTGTCGTGAAGGTTGGTTCAGTTTACACTTTGAAGCATAATTACGTCGATCATAATTTTGTACTGTACTAGTACTAGTATACAAAATGTAGTAGCAGAGTAAAAATAACTTCAGCTTCACCAACCATCCAGGGCCATATAGTAAATTGGTTGCTGTGGGTTGGTTTCGTTGCTGGTTCCATGACCGTTTCATCCTAGCAAGTCAAATATATCCACAATAATCCCAACCCAAAAGCTTGTGAACATCATGCAGAAGGCGGCGTCGATCGTTGCTCGCGCTCGACAAGCCGTTGCTTGGAACGTACACACGATCCGGTGGGTGTACTTGTTCATCGGAGTCATCTTCATCCTCGCATCTGGATCCCCTGCGTTGGAAGCGTTCACGGCACCTCCGCAGTCGACGCTGAGTCCGCAGCTTCAGCTTTTCGTCACGGACTGCAAGAGTCGCTGCCCACAAAAAGCAGATCGTTTTTTCAACTGCACTTTGCAAGGATGCCCCACCCTGTGCAACGCCCTGCAGTCGTCGTACTATCTCCAAATCTGGCCCGACTTGCCCGCCGTGTGCGACTTACAGTGCCAGCTTGCGATGCCTGGTTTGTGTGCAGGCACTACGTCCTGTACTCAGGTGTGCACCGACCAGGCGCGAGTGTTGTTGCAACGCCCCACGTCGGCTTCATCGTCGTCTGCGCTCCCCCTTATCGCATCGATTCGCGTGCTGACGTCGCTTGGCCCGACCTTCTGGTCCACACTCGTCTTGATCCCATTGGCCACCGCCGACATCCTCGTGTCGATCATTTCGCTCGGCCCCCTCCTTCGAGCGACGGACGAAGACATCTACAACAACTCATACTCTGTGTTCTCCAAACTCGTATCGGTGCTCGAGTCACCAGCGCATTTTCTCACCGCCGCCACCATGGCGTTCGAAGTCAAATGTTTGGTGTTTGACGACTCGGACGGCTACGGTCTCCCCATCACCGTCGCGCTTCAGATCATTTTGTTGACTGTGCAGACAGCGATCCCCGCTGTACTGCTGCGTCTCCGTAAAGGGGGCGATGAGGGCAAAAAAGCTGAAGTGGCAACTCCGCAGGTTGCAGGCCCAAGTGTTCCCCCCGTGCCTGTATCGGCGTCACCGCGTCTCTCGATATCGTCCACCACTCGACCAGCCACGACACCGTCTGCCATGGGGCAATCGATTTAATACGACCGCCCCGTTGAATTACGATATAAGACAAACAAATGAGTGGATTTAACAATGACGGGGGACATCTATTCGTATTTTTAATGCACTCATCGTGTCACAGCCTTCCGTATCGCAAGGATAAACGGACGGAGAGTTGCAACACAGTTCGAAACTGCCTCGTGTGTGTCCGTAGAACGGCAAAGTGTTGTCGCACTAGAAATATATAAGATCATATCGATGGATGGGCATGAACACTGAAATCATACCTCACACGCAACTACGAGGAGCACAAATGCCCTTGATCTCTCTTGAAGTCGTCCTTGGCTCTTAGAACCATTGTAACATCGGTCAAAACAACTACTGTACCTGGTACTTTGCCTCGCAACTTCTTATACTTGTATCGACCAAGTTCGAAGATGTCGACATACCACCTGCAAAGTGTACACATAACGTTATCAAACGAAAATGCTTTCAGCCGAGTGTTCATAGGTATACATGCAAGACCTTTCGTATTTCCACATACATCATTCATCTGTGGCATCGTCCTGGCGTCGTGTGCGTGGTGAAACCATCGTATACTCTACCCCCCCCCATAGAGAATGAAAGGATCCGCGCTCCGCCAATGACGATCACCACCACAACAGGTAGCCAAAATAACTCTGTAGTGTATCAAAACTCGAGTATGTTATGCAGGTTTATCATCTATACATTTGTCGAGCGGCTCCAAAAGACTCAAGGGGGCTGCTGAATGCTCCTTGTCGTCGGCAGTGGACAGGTCTTCTCCTCTGTCCCCTTCGGTCGGTTTCGCGTGTTCAACAAGACTTGGTGTCGGTGCGATCGCCTGAAGGCATTTGTGTCGCTGCACCGGCAGTACCTATCGCATGTTCATACGTGCCTGAATTTGCAGCCCCTTTTCTTGACGATTAATGGAGTAACGTTGTATATACTTTATGGTCTGGTTTGGGGGGGGACTTCGGGACATCGAGTTTGTCTAGCTTGTGCTTGGGCGGAGACATTCTGGTATCAAACTGCCAGTCCGTCCAGTGTCAGTTCGTTTGTAAGTAAGGAGAGAGGTTGGCACACACACCTTTTCAAGAGCTTCCATCTCACCGACCAAGACCAAATTCCCATGGGACGCCGACGTCACCGATAGTTTCGGCAGGGGTTCCAAATGTTGTGGCATCACGATGCTGCCATTGGATGGGAACCGTTTGTGCATGTTGGTGGTGGTCGTGGTGGAGGAAGTGGACAGGTCCTTGTCTCTCGACGACGACCGGACTGTCCAACAAGAGAGATCACTCGTGGAAATAGGTGCATCTTTTCACTTTTTCTACCTCGAGGTCTCGGTGCGGTGTCGGCCTGAGTCGGGGACGGTAACCCCTTGGCCAACATGACGGTTTTGTGAAACCGATCGTGTGCTACCGACAAATGTGAAACTGTCTGTTGGCAAATTGCGGAACCAATTCGTGCCCCCTCGACTGCATTACTATGTAGCAAGCACTAAGTACATGTACTTCGAAGCAGTAAATTCTAAGGGTCAACATATTGCACTTACATATTAGTAGAAGAGGCACATATACGCGCTATGAACACTTCCGATAGCGGTAACTTGGTGATTTCGTGCCTTGAGCACGTCAACCAAAGTAGCGTTATGATCAATGGAGCCATGATGCTGCTAACGTTAACGTCAGCAGTTAGTTGCCTGCACTTGCGACTGAATTTTTGACCAAGCATCCATCCACCCTCTAGATAACGCTACTGTATGCTCCTTTTCCCTTGCTCATTTGTCGTTGTTGGGGTTAATTATGCAGTGAATAATACTATCAATCACCACTGAAAGTGTGGTGTGGCAATATTTACACTGTACTGTGTGTAGTCTTGACGTCACACTATTTCATGGTGAGTTCGACTTGTGACGTCGATGATAGTACTGTACTGTAGTAGCATGATATCATAATCTTCCTCTAGACAAAACACGCAAGAGATGACTTTCGTTCATACAAGTACTACTTACCACAGCGCCAACTTACCTACTGGGTACTTTGCTGTTAGTTCATGTCCTTGGCCAGCCGAGAAATCATTTCTCATGAAGCCCGAGCGTTTCTAGCCGAAACCATGTGTTACCCGATCAGCCACACAGCGAGCCAAAACAAATGTGTACAAGTCGGACGATTCTGTACCTCGAGCTAGTACCCGCGTCAGTACCGACTGTCGCTTACCATGCGAATAGTGCACGGTGGAATATGCAACGGACGTTGCATGTAGTGCTACCTTACGTCCGTGGTGGAGGTCGAATCTGCGAGATCAAACTTCCATGACTCACAGTAATTATTCCTGCACCATCCCATTCTAAAACGTTCGGCAACACTGCACGACATTTTCAGACTGGACGTGATGGCTCCAAAGTTCCCACTTCCTCCAGACTTTTTTCAGTGCCCAGCGCTGACTGCCGCCGAGACGGCGCGGTACCTCCATTGGGCCGATGATCTAGCCATCGATGTCGTACGTAGTGTCGACTTGTCCATTCGACCCGTCATCTCACGTCCACCGTGCAGATCGAAGGCTCGCGGCTGGTTGACGGCCCTGTCACGTGGCGGTTGCGCTCGGACGAGTCCGACCTCAAAATCTTCAAGGGATACAACCCGGCGTCGCCGCCTGGCGGGTACCTGTACATGGGGGTGATGGACGTGTTTGCCACGATCGACGAAGTCGTCGACCTCTTTCGATCCGACTCGCCGATGCATGCCAAGCAGTACACGCAGCGCTTTGGCCGGGACTTGCTGGACATGGCCCACCTGTACGCGCTGGCCGCTCCGTCCGACGAAGACTCGAAGATGGTGACCGTGACGTGGCGCGCGTACAAGAAGCCAGTGCCAGGGGTGACCATGAGGCGCGACGCGTGTCTGCTCGAGGTACATCGACGGGACCTCCCACGCTTCAAAACCAACCAAATCATCGTGTTTCTCCCTCGGTTTAGTGCCATCGGGACTTTGACGTGAACGGCCGCCGCGGTCGCGTGTGCGCCATCAAATCCATTCAAGTCGCATCCTGCCCAGACATGGAAACCGAGTTGGGGCTCGTGCGCATGACCAACTACGGCAGCGGTCACGTGTTTGTCGAAAGCGACCGACCGGGGTACTTGCAACTGTCGTTTCTACTGCATGGCAACGTGGCCCGCGGCAGCCGGGTCGAGAATTTCGTCGGGAATGTCCTAAAGCGGAAGGATCAACTGACGGACAAGGCTGTCACCCGTCGATGCCGCAGCGTCACCAACATCGACGTGTGGCTGCGAGAAAATCGCGCCGCAAGATCTCCGTCCATGCCAGAGCACATGTGGATCCCGCCGTCGTCTCGGCATAGTTGCTTTCATTGCCTCAAGGGGTTTGGCGCATTTGGCCGCAAAACCAACTGCCCCAAGTGTGGCCACGTACGTATCGTTCGTTGTTCGTGAGGTGTTTGGTTGGGTTTTGGTTGGACTATTGCATGTATGTATGCATGTCGCGTTTTGTTTCAATGTGTATGGTAGGTGGTGTGTGGCAACTGCATTTTCAAGTGGAAGGTATCGCCGTCAGAGTCGATCCAAGTGTGCTCCAAGTGCTCGCTGGTGGTCCCCCGAGGACCGAAAGCATCGCCGTCCGCGCGAAGTCACCCCCAAAGCGACGTCATGTCCACCGCCGCATGGAGCTGTGTCAGCGGATATGCCAAGTCGGAAGACATGTCTCGGTATAGCGACACCGAAGTAGGCTACTTGGTCAGGTTTTGAACTACAGTACCGATGAGTGTAGTATTTCCAAGTGCCCATATTGCCAGTGACGCCCGAAACTCAATATCGATGTGTGGACTGCATTGAAAACTGCAACTGTACATTGCCCCTTGTGGGACTGTGTCTCACACACGACTTTTGACTTTGTAGCATTCTCAGGATTTGGTAGTTTTTCTAATCTGTCCATTTGAAGGGTCGATATTGTCGAATCGATTCGAAAAACTGGAGCCGTCAGCGGAATAATCGAATGTCTTACGACAACCGATTCAAGAACCGCATCAAATGGATTCGAACTCCTACTGTATTTGGTGAAATGACTCACAAGTCCAAATTTGGGTGAAATGCACAATATGGAAATTGTGCGACAACGTGGCCCCCTTGGCATCCCTGCGCGCGTCTGTTTCCCAACGACATGGCTACGTTTGAAGTATTGTCGACAAGGACCAAAACAAGCGCACGACACATCCAAAATCTTTGAAAAATGATCCTACCTTTAACTGTCTGTTGTCTATACAACCTCAACTTTTGTCTAAAATGCAAACCCTTCCTTGTGAAAATCAAACCCGCATTTGTGGCTGTACCATTCCGTTTCTTGGACCAGTCCTGCCGGCCCACAGGCGAGAATGCCGACGGAATTCGCCGCCTTGTTGGCTGCAAACCTTGTCGTGTTGATGAGTTCGTCCATTACGGGCTTGCCATGGACATACGGGATGTGGTCGTCGGCATAGCGGGACGCGACCGCTCCGCTTTCCCTGGCTTGGCTAACGTAAAACGTGGGGCGGACGTTCGGAGGCAACGGAAACATCACGTCGTCCGCGGCGAGCAAATCCTGGGGGCTTCGCACCACCCAGTACAAGTGGATGGTGCGCGTGCCGGGGATATGGCGAAACCGGTTGACGATGCTGAGCATGGGGGTGATGCCGATGCCGCCGGCTACAAGAACGAGGTCCGAGTACGTGTCGACGTCGATCGCAGGGATGCCGTAGGGTCCTCCCACGACGATACCCAGGGGGGTACCAACAGGGGCGGCGGCCACCTTTTTCACGACATGGTCCACAAAGCTGTCGGGGGCCATCGACTTGAGGCAGAACGCAATCGTCTGACCGTCTCGCGTTACGATGGACGAGAACGGATGCCACTGCAGGAGGGAAACAGATGGGATGTTGACCCAAAAGTACGCGCACGGATTGCCATTCTTAGCCCACTTGGTGGTCTGGGTGGTGGGGGGAAGGGTTAACAGCACCGTGTTGGAGCTTGCGACTGCCGTGACTTGGTACCGATGGAAGAAGCCGCGAAAGCGGGAAATAAAGGACACGCCGTAGATGACCAACGGAAAGATCATCGTGTACTGCACCGTGGGGCTATGTAGCATCACAAAGACGAGCCCAACGACGGATGCTACGCGGTGATGGTAGTAAAATACTTCGTACAGCGACCGACGAATGGGATCGATAGACACGACCGACATGGTCGCGAATGCAATGAACGACAGCAGCCCAAACAGCGGCACGGCGTCTTGCGGGCCATACAACGCAGAGTCCCCGATCGCAACCTGGTTGGCGATGTTGAGAACCAAGTGCACGATGCTGCTGACAAAGCAGAGCCCGCCGAGCCACCGGTGGAACTTGAGCGCACGGTCGTGCGACGTGCCAAATGCGAGCTCCCAGTGGTACCCCCTCGCCACGGGCAACAACAAAAACACCAGCGCTTGCAATGCTACGTGTCCTGCAATCAAGCACCACCGATGGCTTGTATTGAGGTCGGCAAACGTCGTGTTGACCGTCACACCTATCACCACCGCCCCACCGACGTACACTAGCACGATGATGGCTTCGCCCACGTTGACCGGGTCCGGCGCGTACTCGGAAGCGCGTTTACTAGGCGGCCACAACGACCTGCGCAGAAGTCTGCGACAGAGACTCGTGTACGTAGCAATGAATCCCAGCACAACCATGATCCCAAACGTCACGGCCGCGATCGCAGGCGTGCGTGTCGGTCGAATCGTCGCCTGGTCGTGGATCGTCGACGTGCTCAGTGCTACGTACACGGCGCCGTAGTCCGAGTGTTTGTCTGGCCACGCTCGGCCAGCATATCCCCATATGACGCACGTGGCGCCAGTCGGGTCTAGGTCAATGTCGTACTGGGTGGTGGCAACTAACGGGCGCTCAAACGTGAACGAGATGACGCCGTTGGCGACGCTGCCTTGGATGGGGGTGATGCTCATGGCCCCGGGCTGAAGGGGCACGTTGTGCGACTCGTAGCTGGCCATGAGGTACAGTTTCGTGGCGGCCGACGCCGTGTCGAACACAACCACGTTCTTGATGGGGTTGTTGACCATGTATGGCGTTTGAGAGAACCCGATGGACGTCCATCCGGTTTTGGCGGCGCTGGGAAACGTCACCTGCACGCACGCCGTCGTGTCCTTGACGAAAGTTCGCATAGTCATGGAGTCGCCCATGGCTACCGTGGGTTGGGCGGCGAAGAGCGGGTCGCTCGCGCAACCCGACGACGCGGCCACGACGTTGGCAACGCTTGCAGCCAATGCCAACGACTTGAGCATCGTTCGGAATCGAGTCGTGGAATGGAAATTTGGGTCGAACTACGAGTGGAAAATCGACACTGCCTAATGAGGGATACTACTGGGCCCACTGTTGCCAGTAAATGGATCTCCATAAATATAGAACTTGTGGCGCGACTAAAGTCAAGCCGCTTGCGGACATTTGTGTCCAACACGATGGAGAACTTTGTGCTAAAAATACAAGCGGTTGGGGGTTTTGAGGGGTTTTATCTGCGAGCGTTAATGTGAGTTTCGCACACTCATTTGCTAGGGGAATGAACATTCTACATGTGCCGGAGTACTATGCTACAAATTTGGGGTAGAAATCTCAGTAGTTGATTCTTGTTGGTATGACTCAGCTCGAGAATTTCAACGCTTCGTGTCGCACAGGTGCCAGTTTCACGTCGTGGGACTCCGGTACTTTCAGTGCAGAAACGGTGATGTGCACGAAAACGCCAATTACAGCAGCTCCCCTTGGTGTATCTTGAAGTGCTTCCACGATCTTATACGTATAAATATGTATAGGATCGATATATATATAAATATATATAATATACGTATAAGATTGGAAGCAGTTCAAGATGCACCAAGGGGGAGCTGCTGTAATTGGCGTTTTCGCGCACATATATATATAAATACAGTATATATGGGCGCCCTCATCACCTCGATCTCATGGCACACAGCGGGAGTGATTGACGAGCGTAACTTGCCCATCACGCCAGTAGTCGCGAAAGTGGCCAACTTTAGCCACTAATGGGGTAGTACGTTTTAGTTGCATTCTGTAATGTTGGCATTTCTGAAACGAAGCTATAAATCCAAATTTGCGTTTTTGTAGGGCTTGCATATATATTATACAAGTAACTTATTGTGCTTTCGAGCGAAATTTTGGATTTTGGCGTGAATTCAAAAGCCACGCGTCGTATTCTATTGGCGCTTTCAAAATTGCCACGATTTGATTGGGTCAAACGGCAGAGGAGACATGACCAGGACAAAGCAGATCGCACACCAAGCGGCAAGACGACGATGAGCACCATCGAGTCGTCAATCTCACAGTATGCAAGTCCGAACACAGTCATGCACTGTATGTGCATCTACTTCTTTTCCTGGGATGAAGCGTCGACAGCTTGCTGCTGTGTACGAAAAGTGCGAGCAAACCATTTCAAACTGGATCACCAAGTCCGACGATGCAACCGGGTGCTACTCGCGCAAAGTATCCGTGGTCGCCTTGCGAGTGTGTCGGTTGGGACGTCTGCGACGATCGCGTGCTCCAGGCTGGACTGTCGTCTGTGGTCATGGCTCGTCGAATGCTGGTTGAAGAATGGCGTGCAAAATGGACGTTCTATATACCCAAAATTTGTATCAAATCGACAATAACGTTAGTATTAAAAACAACCAAGTCTCGAGTCTAAAATTTCTCCGAGTGATAGCTAAAGCGCACGCCGCCAGATCTGCGGCGGCAGTTGGCATTGAACTTGTCAACATTCGCATTGACATCTCGATCCAGGCCTGGCGGGCCACACAGAAACACCCCCACCTCTTCCGCCTCGTCCATTCCTCGCGTGTTCGCACATACTGCCCCTGCGATGTTCTTCAATTCGACCGCCCTACATCGTTTCGTTGTCAGCTTTCTTCTTGAACACACTTCCATGGAAAGGATGGCATCCCATCATACCAGTTGGGTCGCCCCATGTTCATTTTCGAGCCTTGGAGGCCGGTGAAGATATCGCGGTCTTGTCTGGCTCGCATGAACGTCTGAATCAGCTTGAGGGGTTCGCTTTTCGCAGTGTCGACCACGTTCGTCAGGTACGTTTGGCTGACTAATCGTCGGTCCGAGTCGAGATCATACAGCTGGTTCAACATATCTCGGAACCACTCCATGTGATGTTGCTCTTTGGTGATCCAATAAAAGTACACTTTGCGCAACTTGACGCGGCGAGGGAGCTGCACGGACCCACAGATGGGGCACCGATGCTGCTCCCACACATGCAGCAAGTGCTTGAGGATGGACGCGAACGGCGTCACACCGATGCCCCCACCGATCAGCACTACCGTCGAGTAGTTGGCATACTCCATTGAGGGCGCCCCCACCGGCCCGTCAATGGCGACGGACGGCAGGGGGATGGCGTGCTGTTTGAGGCGGTTGTGTAGCGCCGACGTCCAGTCGCCGGCCACGCGGATGTGCAAAGTCAGCACCTCGTCTTCCGGCGCCGACGAGATCGTGAACGGATGCCATTCGAAAGTTGACAGCTCGGGTACCTTTAGATACAAGTACTACACACAACAACATATGCCGTAAAACGACGAAACGACATCAATTGAGGTTTCAAATACCAAAACGCAAGGTGGCATAGTTAGTCGGGTACTCAAGGTAAGTGTTTGTGCTTGGTACGTACCATGCCAGGCTGAAAGGTGTATCCGCGGGGCTTTTTCAAGTACAGCACCATCGCGTTCGACGTAACTTGGACTTTTTTTAGGTCGGTTTGTTCTCCAAAGACAGACGTGAGGCGGAAGCGGCGCTCGAGCACGTACACGATCAGCGGTCCCGCCACCCAGAACCATGCTTGGGGAGGGGCTATCCACGCTGCGGCGCCGTGCACCTAGTACCAGTCAACGTCAGAATCGATGAACCTTTATGCACAAGTCAAACCACACACAACTCTCCACTAAACAGCGTAAAGATCGTCGTTTTGGATTGGAAGGACGACATCCACCCACTCTCATGTACATCCAACGCATTCCACCACACAAAAAAACACTTGTATAGGGCAAAGTGACGTACGAATAGAAGCACAAGGAACGGAAGGAAGAGGATGTGCGTGAGCCAAAACAGCTGGAAGTTGTGCCTGCGGACACACGCTAACGTGCACGGCACGGCCACGGCGGCACATCCGAGCATAGCCACGCCCGTCCACATGGGCAACGCCGCAAAGATGTCGAGCCAGTCGGCATACCGCAGCAGCTTGATCTTGTGAGTGTTGAGTATCGACTTCTGCCAGTCTTGGTTGGTGGCGGATTTGGCGCGCACGCAGATGATCAGCCACGCCACAGTGTGTACAGTGCCAGCGATCAACATGACCGATCCGGCAAGTTGATGGAACGAGATGTGGCGGTCAAATGGCAAGATGTGCCAAAGCAGTCGGAACGTGCGGAGGTACCCGACAATGGACCGACTCATGGGCAGCAACACAAACATGGCGTTCACAAGCACGAGTTGGGCGCACGACTTTGCGAGTTGGGCCATGTGTCCCGCGACGATATCGTACGGAAAACTCGCCCATTTCAGCCCGAACGCAAGGCCATTCACTGAAAAGTATAGCGCGAGAAAGTAGAGCTCGGCTTGGTACTGCACGGCGCCAGATCGGAGTGTGTCTCGAAATGATCGCTTTTTGTGGACAACTGAGCACCGTGAAGCCCCTATCGAGAGCTGGCGGGCCTGTCTACTTGGCCGTTCGGTCGACAGAGCGTCCCCGAAAAGCACTTTGAACTCGTCGAAATGTAGCGATTCGCGGGGGTGGATATCCTTTTCGTTCGGATACACGGCTCGGAAGGCTTGGTGGACAATGTCCTGCAACTCGACGCCACTCAAAGTGACATTGTGATGGGCCATGGTAGCCGCAAGGAACGCCTGGAGTCCCGCGGGGGTCAACCGCTGGTTCTGATCGACGTCAAAGAGGTCGAAAAGGACGCGGAGACGTTTGTCTGGGTCCGTTTCGGTCCGCATGGTCGTGCATGCTTCCATGAATTTCATATCGAGGGAGGACGTGAACGATTCGCCAAGGATATTGCTGATGCGAGAATACTCGCTCTCAGGCGGCAGACAAGTGGACGGCGATTGGTGCTCGTCACCGTTGGGAGTGGGCAGTCCGTCGATGGAGACGTACTGATCGAGCAGGTCGTTGGGCGACGATCTGGCGACGCTGCTGGGCGTACAACATGACACGGGCTTGGTCATAGCGGCGGGCATGTCAAATGAACGAACGCCCTTGGAAGGATGGCAAGGTGGCGGTGTGTAGAGGTAGGTTTTGTGAGTGAAACGACTAGGTTGAGACATGGCATGTCAACAATACTACAGCATTTTCCATGACCGATATGACATATCGTGAAAGTCTTTTTTAGTACTAGGCTTTGTATATACTATATATTTTTGCATTACTGTTAAATATAGTCGAGGTGCATGACTATATTGAGCGGTTTTAGACCACATCTGATTGTGTCAGTTTTTGATTGGCTTATGAATAGATCACGTGTTTTGATTGGCTATTTTGTGGACCTGACCCAGGAATGCTGCTCGATATTTCGAGCCTGAGGTGCAGCTGTACACTGTATTGCAGTAAACACTGTCAGCGACAAGTACTCCCTCCCACTGAGAAAACCTTAGGAATGCTGCTCGATATTTCCAGCTCAAAGTACTGCAGTATACACAATTCAACGTACGAGCCATGGTGTGGCAGTCGTCGAGTCCGTCGCTGGAGTGATAAGAACGTATCAACAACGTACAGGTGGTATCAACTACAAGGAACTCCAACATCTCCTTCCAATGCCGAATTCAACTACCAAGTGGTGTCACGAATGATACCTTATATGGCGTCACTACTATACTATTAATAGTACATAGTATTCGTCATCCTAGCGCTATGTTATACTAGTACTACGTAATATACAGTACTGCTAGTACGGTCCAGCATTTCACATCTAACTGTAAAACATCCCCATGGGTAAGACTGTACTACTAGTACTAGTTTACTGTAGTCAGAATGATAAGAACGTATCAACAACGTACTAGTACAATCCAGCATTTCACATCTAGAGCATCCCCACCAGTAAGACTGTATAATCAAACCGATAAAAACGCATCAACAACAAACAGATTGTATCAAAACTACAAGGAACTCGAACATCTCCTTCCAATGTGGAACTCAGCCGCCTTACACCAACCACCAGTGGTATCACGAATCATACTTTGTGGCGTCACTACTGTATGTTTCGCCTTTACTCGCAGAACTCACGCTTGGTCTGTTCATAAGCACAAATTTAGTTACTTGTTTCAAATGTCCACATAGTTGGCTCAAAACCAGTGACTGTGTGTTTAGAGTTTGCCGAATCACAATTTGAAGTCACAGAGTCATAACTTACTGTACATGTCAGTCACCAAGTCACCAAGTCATTGGTTTGAAACACATGATTGGTAAATATCTCACCACTTGACCAATGCAAATATATTTCCCGGTCATTGGGTAGAACGGAAATAATTTTGGAAAATCACTCGGTCACTTCCAAACACGCAACGTAGACTTTTCGATTTACGAAGGACAAATGAATTGTGGATGTAGTTTCCATTCAAAATTGCAAAAAATGATATTATCCATAGTAAAATTGACAAGCAAAATTAGCATACAAAGAGCAAGTGTCTGTTGGAACTTTCACTCGGAATGCGCCATGGCGTTACAGTAGCCATGCATGGTCATAACTGTCGAGGTCCTAGATGAAGCCAAAGTTCTACACGCCCATATTGGGGATGGTTGGTTCTTCCTGATTCTTCCTACGGGTACCAGAGATTTGCACTAATTACTTCAGCGCTACTACCGTAATACTGTAGTACTACGTAGTACAAGAGATTGGCCAAGACGTCTTTTAATAGTAGTAAAATACTACTCCGTACAGAGTGAGTACCAGTAGTACTGTAGCACCACGTACTGTAATAGAACTTGTTCCATCCCGAGGGCAGTATCGCATGTTACTGTTAATATTTATATATAAGCGATCACTTCGATTTATAGTTTGTACAGAGTATCTGGCGCATTTTCCAAAGTGATAACGGCTTATAACGAGCAAGTTATAACGTTACTCCGGCCCAGGTATAATATTTTGTACATTAATATTCCATGCATACAAAACTATTTCGAGTAAGATATTACGGCCGTTCGCGAAATACAAATCCAAAACAGTATCACCATTTCTTTAACGTTTATAATTTCAAAATGCAAATGGATTACTAGTATTAGGATATTTTAGGCTCTCCACCACGAAAAGTCCGTCGAATACTAAACAAACGAAGGGTAGCGTTGGAAAATATAAATTCAGCTGCATTTTATAGTGTCAAGAAGTGTGCTTCAAACATTTGACATTTTAGTGCACACAAAGCGTTCGCGATATTGATGGTTTACGTTAATACCACAATGACATATAATTGGTATGATGTCGACCACCATGCATCGCACCATTTGGTTTCCGACGCTGGTGTATGTATGTACAGTATGTATCCTTCACGTCCGTCAGGCAACAAAAAACACCATTTGTCATCGTGTTACTCGTTCCGTTGCTGTGTCAACTTGGCCGACTGGAGACGGCGGAGTTCGTACGCGACGATCGACGCTGTGGGTCGACTGTCTGGGTCCATGCTCAGGCACGCCCGAGCAAGCGCCAGCACTTCTGGCGGACAGTCTGACCGGAACGATGGCGCCAACTTTCCCGCGGCAACTAGCATCGCCATCTGCACGTTTGAGTACCCATTCGGTCCATTCGATGACTGGGACGACGTCGACGAATATGGGATTTGCCACGTGTCCAGCTCCGAGAGGACGACTCCAAACGAATACATGTCTGCCTTTTCGTTGTAGTGTCCGTTGTTGGTGAGCACCTCAGGCGCAGTCCATGCCGCCGTCCCCGCTTCCGACGTCATCGTGTCATCGGCCAGTTCTCGCGAAATGCCAAAGTCCCTACACGCGCCTGTGAAACATTTATAAAGTCTACATTGAAGAAAGAAACAAAAAACAGTATTGTCGATTTGATACAAATTTGGGGAGGGGGTGCAATCGAATTTCGCGCCGACCAAACCGATCCACAATCGATCTGATTGGTTGAATTTCATTGAGAAGGTTTTGATTGGCTAATAATTTTGAGCTCATCTGAAGTAGCCAATCAAATCGATTTAAATTCCAACGAGAAACCACGCCACAACACGAAATTTCATTTGAAAGCACAATATTATTGTCAAATCGATTCGAAACTGGAGGAGCCGTCAGTAGAATCGAATGTCTTCAGAAAATGGATTAAAGAACCGCCTAAGCCAATCAAATCACGTCATGTCGAATTTCTGCCAATCCAAACGCTTGATTTGCCCAGTCCCTCCGCATAAGCGTTAAAGAGTATTATTTGTACAAGCTTAAATGAGATCAAATGGATTCGAATGCTATTTGGTGAAATGACTCGCAAGTCCAAATTCGGGTGAAATGCACAATACGAAAAACAAAAAGCAACGACAAAAAATTAAAAAAAAAAATTTACACCGCCGACAAAAGTCGCCATTATATTCTTGTAAATTCCGTCCAAATTTCCAGACCCCGTCGAATCGAATCACGAATCGACGCTATTGGCTAATCCAATTTTGAGTGGATTTGAAGTGTCTCGATTATTTAAAATTTCATAACTCTTCATTTTGATTGGCTCGAAAGGACAAGTATATTCAACCAATCAACAACTCCAGCGTGATTCAACCTTGATATTTGACAAACCACACTAATTTTAAATGTTTAAATTCACAAGACTGTAACCACAATCAACCCCGAACCCCCCCCTCAAAAACCCCCAACCAAGTGGACGAAAATAAATAAAAAAAAATTCAGATCTCGAGTATACGTATAGTATCCAACACCAAACATTCCCCACAGCAACATTCATTGTCGTACGTGAGTTTGGCCGTGAACGTGTCGGACAACAACACGTTGCGCGACTTCAAATCGCGATGCAAAATCGGTGGATCGAACGAATGCAAGTACGTGACAGCGTCTGCCAAATTCACGGCCAGCGACAGTTTCGTACAGAACTGTCCCCGCCCCTCTTGCTGTGTGGACGGTTGAAACCACGGGAGATGCTGAGACACTGCGTCGCGCGCTAAAAAGTCGCGCAAGTCGCCTTCCGACATGAACTCGGACACTACCGCCAAGTCGTTCAAGGTGGTCCACGATGCCCCAATGAAGCGCACGATGTTGCCGTGGTTGAGCGTTGCATGCAGCTTGATCTCGTGCATAAAGGCCTGGATGTGGCGGTGCTGGGCGTGCATGCTGGCCGTGAGCTCCTTGACGGCGACCACCTGGTCGTGGAACGTTGCGCGATACACGGTGGCAAATCCACCAGACCCACACACGGAGCGATTTTGGAGCTCCCGCTTGGGAATGCGAAAGTTGATCAAGTCTGCGTCGCCGCGGATGTCGTACCTGTACGCAAACGTACTGGCGTCTTGGTTGTAGTTGCTGCTCCCATTGGTGTACTGAGATGAGCTGTTGTACTTGCTAAGGTTGTTGCCGTCGCCCGAGGTCATGGTTCCATTGGCCAGCGGATGATTCGAGCCATCGCTGCTGCTTTTACTCGTCGTCGGAATGTGGTACTCGGCGGCAACGTTGTTGTGGTCCGAATGGGTTTCGCCCAGAATCGCCGTCGTAGGCTACAGACATGGTTGATATATATATAACGTTATATCAATAATAGAAACAGAAAATATATTGAGGAACGGTGCTGGCAAGTACAATGAATAGAATAAGAAAAATATATTGCCGAACGGCCATGCCACATGAAAGATGTAAGAATCTCGGTATGGTACGTTAGATACCACACAATAGTTGTTAGGGTGAGTGTGTATATGTATGTATGTATACAGGACAACCACGTATTGTAATTTCAGCCAAACTTTGGACTTTTGTGCTGCTTTGCCAAATCCATCGACAGAAATTTTGTACTGAAAATTTGATGTAAAACATGGTGATGCCCATCACACGAATTATGAAGTCACACTCGCATTAGCTGTTGATTGGTTGAACTGATGAGTTCGAGCAATCTGATTGGCTAAATAATTCTGCACACATTTGATTGTGTCAAACGTCGCTCCAGCTTTGAATAAACACAACAATATTTTGGATTCGGTACAAATTTCCAGACCCCTTCAAATTGAATCGACGCTATTGGCTAGTCCAATTTTGAGTGGATTATTTGATTGGCTCTTACAACAAGGACAAGGATATTCAACCAATCAGAACTCGAGCGTGATTCAATATTGATTAGACAAACCAAGCGACTTTTGGAAGTTTCTAAGCGAATTCAAAATATCTAGATTGGACACATCCTACCTTGAAATGACGGGAGTTTGTGTTGTTGCGCCGTTGGCGAAGAACGATGAACAAACCCACAAGCCCCACGACGACGATCCCGGCGGCGGCTAGTCCAACGATCATGCCGAGGGAAGACGACGATGAAGATGCGTTGTCTTTGGCGGCGGCGGTGGCACTTCCAGGCGGGGTAGTAGTGGCATCTACGCATACACGACGTGATGGCCGTCAGCATGAAGCAGATTCTGAACAAAGGCATATCGATTAAAGCACCTTCATTGACAACAACGACGGGAGATTTGGATAGCGAGGGTCCTGCGATAATGTTATTACTTGACCTCTTGTGGATTGAAACGAGGGGCGAGGACGGTATACTGTACCTGTAGTCGCTGCGACAGGGGCCACCACACACGCCGTGTGGAGGAGTGCCGAGGTCGGTTTGCTGAACTTGGACGGCGGGAATGGAGTGCCGTTAAAGGTCTGCTTGGTGCCGGTGCAAGCCGCCGTGGGGCGGATGATCCTGTCCGTGTACACGGACGCATTCTTCAGCACAATAAACGTGGGCGCGTCGACATTGAACACGTCATAGTCGTTGATGTCCAAGTTGCTACGGAACGATGTGGGAAACACGAGGCCAAGCTTGAGAGATCGCACGATTACATGGACTGCAGCGATTCGGGCAACGTGACGGTATCAAACGTCGTCATTTCGTTCGTCGACACACTCCTGCCACCACAACACATGTGACAACGTGTAGGTTACGTGCCAGGGCACGTACAGCACTTGAAGCTTGGGTGGCACACTGAAGCTTTGGTTCATCGTGTGAATGTCGTTGCCAGTGAGGTCCCTATGCATATCACGTCGTTCGAGTCATGTAGTTGACCTCGTGATACGTACAAGGATCGAAGCGACGCCGGCCACTTGACGAAATTCACAGCTTCAGTGAGCTTTTGGTACCGGAAGCTCCTATATACAGTGTATTTGGCAACATGAGCGTCATGCTGGATGGGATTGTAGATGACGGACAAGGATTGAACTTTGAGAGGGGTGTTCTTGTGGTCCACCGTCAGATCAGGGTTCAGTCGATTGACTTTACTTCCAACGTCGCCTTCAACATAACTACGAACGAATAATGTGAGCTAGGTGTCATCGCGACGATACGCATACATGGTGGTTGGCTGCGACGGGAAGTACTCAATGTACTCGACGCCGTTGGGAACGTAGAAGGACGAGCTGCTGGACGACAATGGCACGTCTACTTCTGTGGTTCCGTTAACCACGCATGCCACCGATGTCTTGTTGGCGCATTTGGTCGTGAGGGTTGCCACTACCGCCTTTGTCGACGCCATATCACTGCAAATAAATGTACGATCAACAACGAGCGACTGAATACTTGGATCGGATTGGTTGTTGCAACCCAATGGGGAGAGAGAGAGCTAGAGCAACTTGGACGAGACAGCCAGTTCACAACGAAAGTGAGTTTTAAGCCAATGAATACGCTTCATTTGAATTTAAGCCAATCGAAACGATGTTAACAGTCCAATTAAGGTGCTCGATTCATTTTAAGTGCACGCGAATTAGCCAATCAATTCCTAGAAAGGCATGTTTAACCTAACCGCCCAAAAAATATGCAAATGGATATACAAAGACTACCGTAAAGAAGGGTGTGTCTGGTAACCGGAAATACTACTGTAGTATTGCAATATTCAGGCCCAATACTGTACGCCATTTTGGGGCCAAATTCAATAAATCTGATCAAAATTGAAACATGTCTTGCTTGAAGAATTTTAACCCAAATCCAAAAATTCAATAATTCCACGTGGCATTTGGCCCTGGTCGGGGAACGTTGACTCCACGCCTGTCGACGCTTTTTGTATGTGAAGAGTGGGATAAATATTTGGTGCTCGTTTTTCATTGGCCCATATTCGGATGACGAACATATGGTAGGCACGCCAGCAAAAGCGTCGACGGTAATGTTGTGGCGTCGACGAACCATCGACGCCAGGACACTACCGTCGACGCTTTGTTGATGTCCACTGCAAGTTCGAACATGGACGGCGTCGATGCTTTGCCTGTTGCTCCGAAGAGGAAGCAGGACGACTCAGTGGTGGCTCGACCACCAAAACAGCGGAAGGGTGGTGCCCACGACACGGGCAAGAAGAAGTCTGCGTCGTGGTGCGAGGAAAGCGTGGCACGACTCTTCTTTCTTCGCTACAAAACCGAACTCGCCAATCGGTTCGACTCCAAAAACAACAACCAGAAGAAGGAGGCGTACGAAATGCTGGCCTCGGAACTCAGTATTGATGTCAATCGGGTCTATTCTGCCAAGCAGGTGAAAGACAAGGTATTTGTATTTGATATGTATTATTACTTGATTTTTACAATTTTAGTTTACCAATATGAGATCGGAGTGGGCCTTGACCAAGCCTTCACTGCCCAGGCCGACAGGGAACGACGTTGTTATCAACGCCCCAGCGCATTTTGCGTGCATGTTGGAGTACTGGGGATCCAAAGACGGATTTCGCCGGGAGTCATTGTTTTCTACGGATGAAGGTATTGTTTTCTTGACATATATATTTTCGATTTCATCATTATTATTTTACATAATTTTAGCTGAATTTGTTGAGGCGGAGGGATCGTGCGATTCCTCTGACGTTGAAGACACTGCTGTGAAAGAGGAAAAATTTACTTTCTCCCGCCAACAAAACCAAAAAAAAAATGCGAAAGGGAAGACACATGCGGAAGCTCTGGAGGCGGGGCTTGTTGCAGTTAAGGAGGGACTTGTTTCTCTCGGGGAAGCGATGCTTCATACCAAGCCTGCACCTGCCCCAGTCGTACCTGTAGTGCCTGAACACGAAGCAGCAACTTTAAGCGATGTAGTAGCTGCACTCAAAACGCAATCTGCCGCTATTACGCAACAGTCGGACGCAATTTCTAAATTGCTTGAACATTTGTTGAAACAATAAATTGAATTTTATTATTGTTCATCCAGTATCCTTGATATTCCATGTCGCTTGGTCACAGCTACGGCGCGGAGCATCTTGTTTGTTTCCACTTCGGTTTCATCACTCGGTTGGAAATAGATATTTCGGTCGCGTTCGTTGTTGGGAGTCGCAAACAGGCCATCATTAAATTTGAGGAACATATTGTGAAGCACCAAACAGGCCACGATGTGCGAAACGGTTCGACTCAACGTGATTTCACTCATCGTGCACTTTAAAATCCGAAACCGTTCTTTCAGTCGACCAAACGCACACTCGACAGGCATTCGGGTGCTGGAATGCTTAAAGTTAAATCGCTTTTGACGCGGTGTCAAACGACCACCTTCTTCATGGGGCATATAGGGCACAATTAACCATGGGAACAAAGTGTAGCCAGCGTCCCCAAGTACATAGCAGCCACGGGGTATACATTGTCGAATAGATTGGCCAAACACAGAACACTTCCATATTTTTTTGTCGGAATACGATCCCGGCCGAACATCGATTGACAAAAACCTCGTTGAAGCATCCACAACAGCTTGGACATTTAGTGATGGGTCACCGTTCCGATTATAAAACCCATCGTAGTCTTTAGGCCGCTGAATATCGATCAAAGTCCCATCAATAGCACCAACAACGCCAGGGAGCCCACGTTTCTCTCGGAATTGACGCTCAATTACACTCCAGTCCGACGCAGATGACGGCATGCAAATCCATTGTTTTGCCATTTTATAAAGCACGGACGAAAACAAGTGAACAATGTTGATACTCCATGATTTTGACACGCCAAATGCTGCAGCCGTTTCGCGATAACCACCAGTGGAACCCAAAAAATACAGGAAAATGGCCACTTTCTTTTCAAAAGAGTGCAGGGACACCCGCAAACTATAGGCCACCATTTCAGCACGAAGGACCCTGACCAGTTGGATAAACGTGGCTTGACCACACCGCAGATTGGACAGAAACCACTGCTCGTACGCCAAATTACCAAGCATTGAGTCAAAATCAATGTGAGATACAGTGAGAATGTTGTACTTGTCGTGGCGGGGGCCGGTGGACGTGACAGCTAAGCATGCAGCAGACACAACGGCACGATCATCAACCATTGTCAAGTGGCGGCAGGCGTTAACACAAAAGTGACGACAGTGTCCGGTGTTAACACTTTCCGGATAAAAATCCCATATGATTTGTCAAAAGCATCGACGGGTGTGGAGTCAACGTTCCCCGACCAGGGCCTTTACTCGTTCAAGAGGTCCAAAACGCCACATTGCAAAATGAACCTTTTACCTCCATTTTGAACATTGCATTTTGGTTAATCCCATTTTCGAGCATATGGAGTAATACTTTTGAAATGTTACCAGACGCACCCTAAGCTTAAAATGGTGCACCTTAAATTAGACCGCTAGTTTTAAGCTGTTTGTGGACAACGTGGTATAAAAAATGATGAATTATAACAGAAAACCTATCTCATTCATAACTCCCGAATAGGCCTGGATTTTGGCTTCACTTACTGTTAACATATTGTAGAAATATAATCCGATTCCTATAAGTCGAGTTACATGCCTTCGACGGCAGCATCTCGGAAAAGTGTTCTTAAGCTTTTACGTTATTGAAATTCGTTCGACATTGAGAATTATCAGTAGAGTTGACTAGCAGACGCATCCTAATATCTCGCTGATGCACTATTTTAATACTAGTTCGCCCGTACTATTAAAACAGTACGAGGCGCGTCATCTGAAGCCTGCAAAATGGTTCAATTTAGGAAATAATAAGGTGTTAGAAGTTATTAATGGTTTCGAGGATTTTGCTTTGATATAGCTTATCAGATGTTTTGGAAAATAACACCGGATACAGTAGAACTATCCGGTATATTGTAGCTTATCTGGATATTAACAATAAAACATTTATCAGGTCACACTTGTTTCAACAATGGCGGCCTCCATACATTTTGTCATAGGTAGAAATTCATGGTAGGAAATATATAGGCGAAATGAACTAATATTAGTACTACTAGAAATAGTACACTACTAGTACTAGAAATAGTGTACCTCCGTCAGTTGGTGCAGTGTTAAAAGTAAGACAAAAAGTGTAAAATACATGTGATCGTTAGCTTTTGGTACTAGGTATGGTGCACGTCATCTATAAACTACCAACTTTTCATAAAAATTTGTGACTTCTATTTCATATTCATTACTCAAAATTTCAGCAAATTGAGACGTAGAATCGACAGATCTCAATGTGATGAAGAAATTCTACGCCTCAGATTCAAATTTGGTGATAAATTGGTCCAAAAATAGATATTTAACCTATTCATAGCGGTATTTTACACGGGTGATTGGATATTTGGCCATTGGGGTGGCCGTTGAGATGTATCTTGATTTTTGTATGTGACGTATATAATATCCGGAGGCAGTTGGGACCCACTGCAGTGATAAAACGCATGAAATGGGTATTTACTGTTACTACAGTACTACGTTTGTACTACCTCCAGACGGAAATAGACCGACCATTTGACAAAAATTGATGCAATTTCTGTACATTTTAAAATATGGAAATTCTGAAATTAGGTGCGAAAAGAGCAGAATCTATTGTATCCGATTGGCTCGAATCTGCAA